AACTATAAACACGAGATCATCAAGTTGATTGGAAACCAGCCAATCAAATTCGGAAGTTTCGCATCAAATTATCGAAATTCGTTACAAAATTCCGAACCAAATTTGCAAATTGCAAACGATTTTGGAAGTAAATTTTAAAAACTAAACTGATAAGTTTAGTTTTTAAAATTTACCGCCAAAATCGTTTGCAATTTGCAAACTTGCTTGCAAACTTGGTTCGGAATTTCATAACAAACTTCGATAATTTGATGCGAAACTTCCGAATTTGATTGGCCGGTTTCCAATCAACTTGATGATCTCATGTACTATATAGTTCCCAAATTCCCAACCAACCTCGCAATTGGCGTGGCCAAAGTTTCGTGAAATCAACTGTAATGAAGAGACTAACTATAGAATAGAATCAGAAAGGAAATTTACTCACCTCAATATCAAACTCAGCTTGTGTTGCCACACCTCTTAAAACTAGAGGTTTCGTCTGAAAGGAAATTCACGCATGTCAATCATCTCTGAGAATTAGGTACTATTCATAGCCCAATGGACGATTAGAGCTATAGACTAAATTTTGATCTAGGCAAGAAGAACAAAATTCATCACCACAGCTAGAAAGAGCATGTTAAAATTAGTAAAATTGCAAAGTTTGGTTGCAAAATGTTGTAAAGTGAGGAAAATATAGCCCTGTGAAATTTGCAAATTTTGTATTAATTTGTATATTTACGCACAGAAATACACACCACTTTCGGCCCAAATGGCAAATGTGATGCAAATTACTGTGCGTAGGCCCGGTTTAGATGGCGAACTTCTCATGTTCCAAATCTAATGCAAGAATTAAGTGCGACGCTGGAGCAGCGTCTAAATCAATTAAGTTCGACAGGTTTTGATTAAGTTCGACATGACTCGAAGATGCGACAACTGACAAGTCGTATATGCGACACATGTTCGACATTGATTTAGACGCTGTGCTTTTCATGCGCCGAACCTAATGCGTAATTATTTTTTAACATCATATGATTATCATATATTTGCATTGTAAATATGTCCAATATCGTGTCCTAGCAATTTGGTACGGTACAATTAAGTTCGACGTCTAAATCAGCTTCAGCTTCAATTTTGCCGTATCTATGACAATTAGATTCGGCGCATGAAAAGTTCGCCATCTAAACCAGGCCTAATACAAATTAATACAAAGTTTGCAAATTTCAGAGGGCTATATTTTCCACATTTTACAACATTTCGCAGTCAAACTTTGCAATTTTACTAATTTTAACATGCTCTTTCTAGCTGTGGTGATGGATTTTGTCCTTCTTGCCTAGATCAAAATTTAGTCTAAAGCTGGAATTGCCTATTCAATACGAAAAATCAGCATGATTTCATATAGGAATTTCATAACTTTTCGGCTAACTATTTTTGTAAGTCTGGCTTTACCATGGCCCGAAGAAGCTGGAGCAACTGGTCTTTCAGAATAAACAAATATTTTAGAAACTCTTGATCATAAAAATCATCATGTTTTTCAGGACTATAGGAGGGATTTGAACTAAACACAGAATGATATGGACTGCGGTTGCATCAATCTTACCTTTTCACTTAGTTTTCAGGTGGAGTGTTTACCACATTGAACTAAAAATAACTGGAATGCTACGTTCAAGCGGAAGTTTGAAGCTAAATTATACAAGGTCGTACACAGGCTTTAAAAGGCCCGTTTTAAAATTAAAGGCCCGTTTCCCTTTCGATTCGCATCTTGCCATGAAACGTTCAAATGGCATGCTTCGTTCGCCCCCTGCATTGTATCGCGCAGTAGAAACACGTGTGGAAGTGCGTGTCTGGGAGTCAAAACTGGCTTCATGGGAGTCAAATTTTGGCTTCAAAATTTGCATGCGCAGTTTACTGAACGTAGCGTTCCAGTTATTTTTAGTTCAATGGTTTACCATTACAGTCAAATCCAGTGTTCTATTACAGGCAACATTGTCACGCGATATCGATTGGCGGATTGCTCCGACTAGTAAATTCAACCAATGCGAACAAATTGCAATTTTTACGTACAGTAACAGTATTAAATAGTCAACTTCAAAATTCAAAAGGCTAATTCGGAAGAAAGTTTGTAAATAAAGCCCGATTGGCTACTGGTACAAAACAAGCAACAAATACTTGGCATCTGACATTTGGGCATGATGTAAAAATTGCAATTTGTTTGTGTTGGTTGCAATTTGCTAGAGCAATCAGCCGATCATATTGCAATATTGTGTGACAATATTGCAATGTTGCCGGTAATGGAACACCAGATTTGACTGTAAAAATTTTAAAATATTGATCAGAAAACTTTTTAACTTTAGTAATTTTTCAGCTCCTGCAAAGCCCACGCATGTTTTATACCTACAAGAGAGCACTCTATGGGCTGCGATCTTGGCTTCATCCAATCATAAGACAGTTAGTTATTGTTCCAGTATTTATAGAGTTCACAGTGGTATGAACTTGCACACCATTGGATCACAGAATAGGAAGGTATAGCAGAAGCGTAACTCAAGCATTTGTCTGCGTTTTTACAAGCGATTCGTCATCAATCACGCCATCCTGGCTAGTACAACTGGCACTTTGTACCTAGCAAAACCTGATAAAAACTTCCGGTTGTACTAGCCAGGATGGTGTGAGCAAGGTAAAATTTTCGTGGACGCAAAACAATAAGGGAAACGACTAGAGTTACGCTTGTTATAGCTTCTTATTCTGTGATTGGACCAAGAATAGTAATTTGCAGTCACTACAATAAACTATAGAATGCTCTGCTAGAATTAAATAACCTATCAGAGTTTACCAAACACATATAGAGCTATTCGGAGATATATAGATGTTCTAACAAGCAGTTGAAGTTTCGACTGACAGTGGTCATACTGCCACTCCAGATATCAACAAATATGTCTATGGTTTGCACAAGGAATAATCATTTTTTATCTGAACTATTGCAAAAATAACACTTACCAACAATTGCCGAGTTGATCTGCTGCACACAGAGGCAAAAGAACGCAACATTTAGCGAAAAAAAACAAGACAAATGAAACAAAAATATTGAGAAATAACTTGTGCAAGTTTTTAAAATGAAGTTAGTACCCAGTCTTTCAATGTCACGGCCAAAGACATAGCACACCCAAGCGGGTATTATGCAAAATGTTCGTGATTTTTATTGTGATTTATTTTAATATTAATATATTATTTAATTGGAAAGTTTTAGATCGGACTATCAATTGCTTGCTGTACTTGACGCATGTTTATGCACGTTGATATCCAATTCACATTTTCAAAAAACTGACATGCTTGTTTACCATGTTCTGATAACGTTCGGCGAACTCTTTTGGCAAAATACTTCGATATTTAACTCATTATGAGTGAGGGGGCATTTAGGAAACACTGGGGAAATTGGTGTGGGGACTTTAGGGACAACTGGGAACAGGAGAAGGGGACGTTTTGGGATATTGTAGGGAACATCTGTATGGGGACATTTATGGATAACTAGGAACACATATAGGGGACATTTAGGGACATTGTAGGGGCCATTTGTAGGGGGCATTTTAGGGATAACGTGGAACACATGTACGCTCGATCAAAAATAGTAACTTCGCCCAAAGTAAAAGGCAAATATCAGAATTTTTCCCCAAAAGAATTGCCTGCGTCGCGCTCAGCCGACACAGTTCGTCATTTGCGAATTAATTGATAAATCACACTGATCATTTTTGAGACGATTTCCTACATGATTCAATTGTTCATAAAATTATTGTCAATTCACACTGCAGCTTTAATTTCTTATTCCAATTCAGAGACTGACAACTTTCACTCGTTATGACATTCGATAATAACCTTGATCCCTTCTCCTCTTTCTGCAGTTTCGAAAGCCTTCAGACTTTCCTCCAGTTTAAATTTGTGTGTTACCAGCGGTTTAACATTCACAGCTCCCGACGCCACGAGCGAGAGGGCTGTTGGATAGCTGTGAAATAGAGTAGAATGCTGTTTTATGGTAGAAAAGATACAGTGAATACCATTTGTGTAGTGCAATGATACGCTTCATCAGCTTAGAAAACTGAAAAGTCAATTAGGTGCTAATCACCCTTTCTTAGAGCTGAATAAAGCACGCAGCTCAAATGTTATAGAAAGCTTATTAGGGCGGATCTAGCCACATCTGCAAGGAGGGGTGCAGGTTTTCCATGGGGTGGTACACGAAGGACCCTTACTGCCCACTCTCCTCTGCAGTCTGCAACACTACTATCCCAACATTACCATTATTTGAGATGGCCGAATCTGCTTGTTCGCCGTTCTGTTACGTTTAATTATCTTTTGTTTATAAAGTTTATATCGGCTTTCTGTCACGTAGCACAATACAGTGAATTTGCTTGTAAAAGTACAGTATATTTGAAAATATGGCTGTATTACAACCTCGACATGTTTGCATATTTAACCATGATATTTAACTAAAGCATTCTGAGTATTTTCTCGTGAGCTCACAAATCAATTAAATAGTTTCAAGAAATCGAGTAATCGACACGCGCTAAACAGCTGAAGTTCCACTAATCGACTATCGTTATTCGAAAATCAGAAAATGTATGGTCAAGCAGATTTTCTTAGGGTGGTGCTGGACTTTTCCTCCAGGGGGATATTAGGGTCTGAACCTGATTGGGGGTACTAGCTTGGCGGTCTGATCCAATTTTCGAAAACTTTTGCGTATGACTAAATAAGCCTTAGTAGAAGTCAACAATATTAACCTTGAAAATGCTGTCAGTATTAAATCAGTACAACTCACCAGTTAACATAACGGAATATGCCTCGAACATCTACTTCTCTCGCGAGGAAATCAAAAACAGGCATTGTGATTTCAGGCTTTCCCAGTCCGACTACAACAACTACGCCACCGGATTCAGCTGCCTGGGGACGCAAGAAAAAAAATCCAAAATAGTTTAAACTGAAACTTTAAAGAATATGTTATTTTGATTCTTGTATCACTATTTAAGCTTAAAACTTTTTAAACTGAAGAACAAAGCAATTATAAATTACATATATTGAAAGGCCTATAAAAGTCTGCTACCAAATATCACAATTCACAACTCACAAGGATTGTAATTGTCATATTAATTAAATAATGACCATTAAATAAAACTTAAGCTAAAGTTAGCAATATATAGCAAGCAATATATGATTGTGTACAATGCATGCCAATGAGGCCACAACATACGCATTTTGTAGGATTCCTTACAGCTCTACTGATAAAAAATTAAACAATCAGAATTGATAGTTATAACTGTAGATTAAACAACAACGCTAATCAACATCATTAATTGATTATCTTAGAAAAAGTATCGAATATCAGTCAAATGGCACAACTCGAGCCAACAATCTAGCCCATGTCGATACAATATGCTATGTACTTACATATATTCCAGTATTAATACTTGACTCTGCTCCAGTGCATTCAATGACTTTGTTGGGAGCTTTGTTTAGTAATTCTCTCACACGAGATGCAACTTCCTTTGCCGTTTGTTCTCTTTGAACTTGAATGGTGATGTCTGCACCTAACTTCTGGGCCATTTCAAGGCGTTTCCCGTCCAAATCTAGACAAATATACTCTGCACCCTTCTTTACTGTTCTTTTATATGGAAAGAGTATTATTATTATTAAAAACACTTGTTCAGGTAGTTTATTATAACCTGAAAAGTTTATGCATCTCAGACACAAACCATCAGACATGAATGCCCATTTCCATTTGTAAAATGTGTTTGGCCGACACAAATTTTCAGTTGGAAAAAATTTTGAAGTTGAAAGTTTTCAACTTTTAACAATGATATTTTCGGAAAATTTTCTGTCGATGGAAATTTTTCTTGAATGGAAATGGGCCTTAACCTTACCAGGTAGCAAAGGTGTGTTGTACCTATATTTGGCTGTAAACAAAGTATGTGAATTATCGCACCCTAGGATACTACCTACGCCAAACCCTCGCACTTGAGATATTTTTAGGTCTTACCTGTAATTGCAACACGACTAGCCCCACAAGCCTTTGCAACCAGTAGATTCACCAAACCAATAGGACCTAAAATTCAACATTGAATATTTTCCCAGTATAGCATTGTTTCAGTATTTCCAGATCACGGTCACAGAAAATCTTACTGCAATACACAGTTGTATGATTATAATTTTGCCTTTTGTGAGAAGAGCACTTCAAATGCATGCGAGAGCTTTCGTGTGTAGTGCCACTGAACCAATAAAGGATGTTCCTATAACTGGACCCTTGTAAAAACAGCTCAAAAATGATAAAGCTATCCTATATTATGTAAAACAGTTTAGTTTAGGTCTCCTCCTGTGGTAACACTGGACAAGCTAGCCCCTGCTAACTAGGAATATAGGAGAACAGTTCAGAACTGATAGAGCTATTGGAATAGCTTAAGACAGAACTGATAGAGCTATTGGAATAGCTTAAGATCTATGACGTTAGCTAAGACAAGGGCTAAGCAGAGGACTGGGACTAGGATGTCCTAAATAAATAAACATCCACATAAAATTCATGACGTCGACCTTTAAACTGTAAATATTTACACCCTTTTGAAAATGAATTTTAAAGATACGTACAAATTCATTACCATTTGTTATGCTCTTGTATCCATGGTGGTGGATGATGAGAAATTGGGATTAAAAAAATATTGCCAATTTACATCCTAGATATTTGACATCATAGATCTTACTGTAAGCTATCTAGTTATTTACCTGCTCCACAGACCAGAACAGTATCACCCATTGTTATACCAGCTCGACGGCATGCATGGACAGCAACTGATAATGGTTCAAGTAACGCTCCTTCTTCAAAACTCATAGAGTCTGGTAACCTAGAAAAACAAACGTGAACATTGGACCCCAAGCTATGTAGGATTTTTCTATGTAGGATTTCTCTCACAATTTAAACACAATAGGCTTTTTTTCAGGGATTTTTTAGGGCTGTTAAACAGTGTTAAATTTGTGACGTGTCGAAATTAGTTTTCAGTTGGAAACCCGACAATTAAGAAAAAATGACTGGAATTCATCTCACAACACAAGAAAAACTATGCATTTGCCATCTTTAACCAGTTTATAGTGTCCCTCAGTGCCCCTGCTTTAACACATTGCATCTCAACTACATTTATTGAGTACAAGTGTCAGCCCCCCCCCCCCCGCAGTAGGGGGGGCTGACACTCTGCAAAAACGGACCCAAGAGAAAATCCGGAAAAAACCCTGCACAAGGAATAAGGAAGATATCTAAATATTCCACCATCATACAAAACAACGACAGGACAAAAGAGTTTCCATCATAGAGCTGTAACGATTTGGAAAAGCATAGACAACGACTTGAACAAATTACCCTTAAAAAACTTCAAAGTAATTAACATTATTGCAAAGATTAAACATTTTATATAGAACTTCTATACAGAACTTCTGATATTTTAAATGTAAACAAGTATTGGAAAGCCCGGATAGGGAATACTGTATTTTATAATAATAATAATGATTATATGGCTTTTCAAAATTCTCTATTCTGATTGGTTGACAAGCGGTCCGTAAAAACCCATATCCGGACCGTGGTCCGTATTTTTTCCGTATCTGGACCGGTGTCTCGGTTTTGCTTTGCAAACAGAAAAAATTTTGCTTTTTAATTTTCCAATTGTGTGTCATTGAAATTTACAGATAAAAATTTCAAACAACCAAATTGTTTTTGATTGAGCATGCATGCCTACCATTTATTGTTACCCAGTGAAACTGACGATAGCCAATTTAATTCGTGTGAAAAGCATATGCTCACAGACTCAGTTCAGCCATATAATAAACCGATTATTGACCTCGCTTGTTCTAGCCTGCGAACAGGCTCTCAAGCTGAATTGAGAGCCTGCATCGATGACTAATGAATTTGAATATCTGCCCCGTAACGTTCGTTTTTCCAAATATGGAGTGTCTATCCTTATATGGTGTTGTTTACAACTTTCGTGCAAACTAAATTTAGACCGTGACCGTGCAAACTAAATTTAGACCGTACAGTTTATACTGTTTTTCGAAATATAAGATATTCAAGCAAAAGTTCAAATGTTTTAAATACTGTTTTCTCAAAACAGAACATTTCGTGCTTTGAGATAAGATGGCCAAGACCAATTTGATCAGTTAATGTGTTTTTTATGCATAGTGCTTCAGCAGTTGACATATATAGAGCTCAGCGGAATAATATAAATTATAGCATCTGACCAATGAGAATTTCGCGTCACGATTTGAGACGCAGATATTCAAATTCATTAGTCATCGATGCAGGCTCTCAATTCAGCTTGAGAGCCTGTTCGCAGGCTACGCTTGTTCGGTCTGTACTGTGAAATATCAGACCTGTTTTTTGCATGGACCTCAGCTCCTTCGTTACTCAGTCCATACTAAAAAACCTCGGTACAGACCTCACACTCGGTCAATAAGCCGTTATAATTTTAATGTGATAAACTTACTTAAAACAGAAGTCAGCAGGATGACAGTAGTATCGGCATAAGGTGCCATGATGTGGAGGTGTTGCAGCAAATTTCATTTCAGCACAGAGGTTGTAGCGTCCAGTCTTGCAAAAGTCACACATCCTACACGAATATCCTGGTTCTACTGCCACACGGTCACCAACTTTTAAATTTGTGACACCTTCACCTACATCACTTATAGTACCACTGGTCTCATGACCCAGAACCATGGGGCCCATTACGATGTAGTCACCAATTCTTCCTCGACGTAGAAAATGTACATCCGAACCACATATCCCAACAGAATGCACAGCAATTTGAACCTCTGTATTCAATGTTTGTCAAGGATAAATAAAAATATATATTGGAATGGTCGGCATTTTGGCCAATTTCAATGGTCCACTAACAGTGGTGGACACTTCATGAACATATATACTAGAGGTGTGCAAATTCGTTCGGATTTCGGAACAAAAATATACATTTCGGATCGGATTGATAAAGTTGTTCCGTAGTTGGATCGGACTTCGACATTCGAAATAAAATGAATTAATTATCCACACATTATTGCAAGAATTAATTATCCATGCATTTATCAAAGCATTATTGCGGTTGTCGCTGCATTTTTCGTTTGATACTTCAATTGGACGTCACTTCTTGACATGTATTTCTTGTTTTTATATTTATTTGGTTAAATATTTCAACTTGAATGAGAAATTTATTTTGTTAATGTGAATTGCACATAATATTAGCTAGATTATGCTTGCTATCAGCACACTAAGAAATCTTTCACTCTCCTGAGAACTTTTCTAAGAACTTTCTGATAAGATATAGATATTGCGCAAATTATTTTTATACCTCCTTTCCCAGGTTTTGAAATTTCACGTTGCTCCTATATTAAAAATGCAAAGAAAACACAAATATTAAAATGGTTTCCGACATTTACCGTGTACAAAAAAAAACAACATAACACTCACCAAACGCAAGTCATCTTGCTTGTACAATACAGCACTCAAGTTATCTACAACCATGATTTCGAGTTTTCGACTTCTGTCATCCCGGATAAAATCTTCTTCTCCAAAATTTTTTTCAAAGCTGCCCCTACAAAACCCAAATGACCAACCCCCCCCCCCCGGTTAAAATATCCGTATAGGTGTTTCCGCTTTGACAATGCTGAATTTCTAATTTCCCATTTTCCGAATCCTACCGTCGTTGGCATCGAAGGATGGACAGATAAAATTGTGCCTTTTCCCACGTAAAAGTTGAATGTTTGTACATATTGAATTATCATTATTACAAAAGAATATTACAGCAATATAATAAAGTCATTTTAAGATGTTATTTCCTGTGGGGAAGCGGAGGTAACGAGCCTGGCATGAAACTCATATATACCTTCTACCGCTCATCTAACTATTCGTATACACCTTCTACCCCTCATCTCAGCTACATATCCTCTGTGCTCCATTTGTATGCCTCTTCTCTCGTCGCTCCCCCATTGGCCAGCATAGAAAACCGTTTCTTCTCAAATCCATTTGATCTGTCCACGCCATCCCAGCGGTAGCCGGGGGGATTCATTGTTTAATCTGTTTGGTGGGGGAGAGCAGGTCCTCTGAAGGGGGCATTTAGGGATAACTGGGAACACATGTACGTTCAATCAAAAAATAGTAAATTCGCCCAAAGGCAAAGTAAAAGGCAAATATCAGAATTTTTTCCAAAAGAGTTGCCTGCGTCGCGCTCAGCCGACCCAGTCGTCATTTGCGGATTAATTTATAAATCACACTGATAATTTTTGAGACGATTTCCTACATGATTCAATTGTTCATAAAATTATTGTCCATTCACACAGCTTGACAGCTTTAATTTCCTGTTCCAATTCAGAAACTGATGACTTTCACTCGTTGTGACATTCGATAATAACCTTGATCCCTTCTCCTCTTTCTGCAGTTTCGAACGCCTTCAGACTTTCCTCCAGTTTAAATTTGTGTGTTACCAGCGGTTTAACATTCACAGCTCCCGACGCCACGAGAGAGAGGGCTGTTGGATAGCTGTGAAATAGAGTAGAACGCTGTTTTATGGTTGAAAAGGTACAGTGAATACCATTTGTGTAATGCTGTGATATGCCTCATCAGTTTAGAAAACTGAAAAGTCAATGGATACTACCAGGGGCTAATCATCTTTTCTTGGAGCTGAATAGAGCACGCAGCTCAAATCTTATAGAGCCGAAGGCTTATTAGGGCACCTCCAGGGCAGAGTTGTCAACGAGTCCTATGTTGCAAGTCCAAGTCAAGTCAAGTCACAAGTCATTTCCTGCAAGTCCAAGTCAAGTCACAAGTCATTTGGTCTTAGTCAAGTCAAGTCA